TCTCTCAGAGTCCAAACAAGACAGCGCACCCTCGCGGGAGCCCAGGGGATATGCCGTCGGATGGCGGCAAACACATCCCCCCAAGACGCAGATGGGATAATCTATCTACGACCAAGTGGTCCGAGTCGCTCTCGGGTTGTCTTGAGAGGGGCCACCGAATCGGAAACCGGAATACGATAACGACAACGATGAGACGAAACCTGCCGACCTTTCCAGCCCAGTGAAAGAGAGGGGGAACTTGGACAGAATTCATAGAGAGCAGGGCAAACTTCCAGTGAATGTGAGGAAAAAGCGTGGCGTCTTCCAGGAGAGTGGTTCCGCGGGACCGGTCCGCCAGTCGGTGCTGAAACATGCCGACCACCGAACCTTGTCGAGTCGTGTTGGACGAAGTATTGCTGTGCTGCCATTTTGGGCATCAAAGTTTGTGCTGGCGTTCAGGTAAAGGGGAGGAGACGGGAATTGTGTATGCAACATGTCTTTGTGCAACTACCTAGGTACGTGGCACCCCGCGGGCGCGCGCGCACGAGAGGGTTCATTGACTGTCTTTTGATAAACCGGACTTCGGACATCTAAGCCTGCTGAACTGCGACAGCGATGGTACTACCTAGGTGGTTAGGTACGACGAGTTGACAGGCTGAAAGTTAACAACGTCTTTTTGGCGAGCCGGTGGGCGTTGGGACTCTGTCACTCTGTTTTCGGATAGTTCGTCAGACGGGCTGCGGAGTTGACTCTGGTGATGTAACTTGGAGCAAAGTGCCCGCGCGGGAGTGGCTCAAGCTTAGAAATCATCTTCTCAAGCTTGCGGAGTTGTCTACACTAAGTGAACTAAGGTATGGGGAGTACGTACACAGAGCATCGAGAGACAAGAGTTTGGCCCCCCCTCCAACAGAGCAACGGCGGCCCTGGCAGATCTGGGTTGTGGCTGAACTTCCCAGGTTCTGGAGGTACTGTGGCACCCCCCTTATCGACCTTGAAGCTGCGAAACTGCGTCATGGATAGGCCTGGCAGACGCCAACTCATGCGCCTGCTGTCCCACGAGATTGGTTCACTCACACGGGGTCACTCTTAAGTCCGGCAGGCACGCACCTATCCCACCGTCCCACGGGATGGTTGCTCCTCAACCCGCGGCAGGGAGCGTCCTGTCGTCTTGTCTCGTCGTCACCTTTTTCTTCCCTTTCCTCTCGGTCTTTGTAACTTGTACCGTATCCTGTTTGTTACTGAGAATTCTGCTCGAAAAGAGAGGCTGAGAGACCTCAGTCCATCTTCCCCGATTCCCCGACCATGAATTAAGTACCTCCCTGTCTACTTCGGTTACGAGGATTTACAAGCAAATCACTACCATCTTCAGTTCCCCTCGCTGGGCTAATCCCACCCACACAATACAGCCAATACAACTCACAAACTCTCAGACATGACCGCAATATGATGGACTTTTTGCTGGTCTCCAGTCTCCTTCAGAATCCCCGAGTTCCCCGTGACCCGTCAATACAACGCCTCCCAAGCCTCAAGGGCCCCAACCGAAACGTGTTTAGGCCGTTACGGACGCCGGACGAAGCGTTGCGCTGCTCTGTCTCTCTCTGTCTCTCTCTGATCTTGTCAACGTCCCCACGCCGCCCCAATAGGAATCACTGGCGCCTCGAGAGATGCTATGACCTTCCGCTTTCTGAAGTGAACATTACGATCCATGTCCGGGGGGGCGCTGTTCCCATTCCACCAGTCCACGACACATCCCATCCCATTCCCATCCTAGCACCTAGGTTGGCCCATCCCACTTTGTTCCACACCCAAAGTCGAAGCCGCCCCCCCTGTTCAGTTCTGGTTATGTGTGGTCGTGCAGTTGTCTCTCGCTCGCCCGGGCCCTTGGCTCGATTTCACCAGCGTCCATCGCTGTCCCACGCCCGCCTTATCTCTCGATGTGGGCAGCGCACCCCGGTCCTCTGCTACGTAGCTCGGGTTTCTATTTCTTTTCCCATTCCCACTTCTCGTTGCGCCGAGCATAGCGCTTCTCTTCCCTTGCTCATGTATTCATACCCCTCTGCCTTTCCAGCTTTGGTCCCTCTTCCGACTTGACAGTTACACTCTCGGAGAGGCGTCTAATTGCTGTGTGCGTCCAACACGATCCTACAGGAATGGAATCGTGGCAGTGTCGCTCTATACATCTTGCCGCGCTCACCCCCAACGATACAGACCAAGTCAGGATATAGGGCCAACACTCGACGATACAGCCCTCCCAAAGACACAGATACTCGATACGAAACTTCGCAGCCTTCTGTCTGTCAGTTATCAAGCTCAAAAAGTCTTTGGAACCTACTTGCGACAGTTGTGCTGTGTTCTGCACCAAGCACACTACACTACACGACACTCGAACTCGACACAGCGCACGAGCAGCAATAACAACATCAAAATAGTCAAAAATGTCGGCACCAAAAGACGACATCATTGTCACCCGGGTGGACCAGGACGTCCACGGGAAACCCATAAACGAGGCAACAGAGACCACGTCGCTGTTGAGCGCAGGCGCTCGCGACGGCGAAAGCTCCTGCGAAGATACATGGCCCGGTTATGCGGATTTCGAACATTTGCCGTGGTGGAGGACTCCCTCTGTAGGATTCTCTCTTTTTTGTCTCCGGCTCGGGCCGCCCTGTGGTCCCGAACAATCGTGCTGACTTTCTGTGCGCCAGGTCTTCTGGCTTCTGATCCCGTATGCTCTCTTCACGCTGGCCTTTGGAGGCTCTCTGGTGCCCAAGCTGAACCTGTATGTCACAAATGATCTCGTGATGTCTTGGCGGCCGATCGCAGTCGCTAATCTCGTGTGCAACATAGAATCGTCGATCTGGTATGCCAAAGGCATTTTGCCGATGAGACGGCGCTGGACCCGGCCTTCGTTTTCACACCCGTTATACTCGGCGCGGATAACCCGCAATGCCTCATCCCCGAGGTTAAGAAGCGTGTGTCCATGTTCACTCTGGCCATCAACCTGTTGACCGGCATCCTGTCCGCAATCACCGCTCCAAAGTTGGGCCAGCTCTCGGACCGTTATGGCCGTCGGAAACTCCTGGCTCTGGCGTCCTGCGGCGGCGTCGTGGCCGAGCTCATCGTCATCATGTGTGCCAACTTCCCCTGGACGTTCCACTACAACTGGCTGCTTCTCGGCGCCGTAGCCGACGGCCTCACTGGATCCTTCACGGCTGGTAGCGTTCTCATCAACTCGTACACCAGCGACTGTACCGCGCCGTCTCAGCGTGGTGTGCGCATCGGATATCTTCACGCCTGCCTCTTCAGCGGCCTTGCCTTTGGCCCCCTTCTGACTGGTTACTTTGCCGCCTGGACCGGCAACTTACTCTCCGTTTTCTACGTCACCATGGGATGCCACATCTACTTCATCATCTTTGTCGGATTCATCGTTCCCGAGTCCCTCAGCGTGAAGCGTCAGCTCCGCGCCCGCCAGAAGCACAACCAAGAAAAGGAGGCCAAGGCTGGTGCCGGAACCTGGTCCACGGTCAAGGCGGCCAACCCTCTGGCTCCCCTCAAGACGCTGTGGCCCACGGGACCCGGCACCTCCTCGAGGCTGCGTCTCAACATCGCCGCGCTCTCGTTCACCGACATGATCCTCCTGGGCTCCGCTATGAGCGCCGGCACCGTCATCCTTCTCTACTCCGAGTCCCCTGAGACATGGGGCTGGGGCACCCTAGAGAGCTCTCGCTACATCTCCGCCGTTTCCATGGTCCGCGTCGTCGCGCTGCTTGTTGTCCTACCCCTCGTCAACTACGTTTTCCGCGTGCGTCCCGCAGCCTACCGTAGGAGGGTCTCGGGCGTTTCCATCGTCGAGGCGAACAACGGCGCCGACAGCGTCGACTGCTGGATTCTCCGCTTCGCCCTACTCTCAGACGTCACAGGCTCCCTTGGATACCTGTTTGCGAGAAACGAGGCCGTGTTCGTGCTCTCTGGCATGGTCACTGCTTTTGGCGGTCTCGGCAGTGCGACCATCCAAGCCGCCATCACCAAGCATGTGCCCGCGGATCAGGTCGGCCAGCTTCTGGGCGCCATTGGCGTCCTGCATGCTCTTTCGAGGGTGTTGGGCCCGATTGCCTTCAACACGCTTTACTACTCGACCGTCGGCGTCTTTGACCAGGCCATCTTCGTCCTCCTTGCATCCCTGTTTGGCCTGGCCTTATTGGCCAGCTTTATAGTGCGGCCCGGTGGTAAGTTATTCAATGCCGCTCGTGTTGTACAAGGAGCTCCCTTTGCTGACCGAAAACGCAGTGTTCCTCGAGGAGACTTACGAGCCTATCCCTTCATCGGTGCCCCAGCCGAGCTCAAATGCCAGCTCAGAGGCGCTGGAGGTATTGACAGAGGATGAGCTGATACCCAATAACTAAATTCTAGGTTTTTGGTATAGGATTTGGCGAGTTGTACGTTCTATGTAGTGTTTGTGTAATTTCACAAAAATAGCGAGAGGAGGATTGCGATACCTAGAACATAGACGTCGGCGCCAATGAGCGCTAGAGAGTCGTGGTTCCTTTAATTTAGAGCATCGGCGATTTTGCCGCACCGGATACAAGAGTATCCCTCGATACCATCAATACACCTTTCCTTGATTGTTCATATGTCTTCTCGTCGAGAGAGTGGCTCAAGAGTCGTGCCTACTCCGCAGAGATTGGCCTGGTCACTTTCATTGACTCTGAAGGACTCTGAATGAAGGCTTCTGTCTTCCCTTGGCCTCAGCACCTTGGCCATTAACCAGAGCTTTGTGTGTAAGAATGGGCCGTACGACCGTCATCCGACCCTTGCTTCGTCCAGAATCAGTCAAACAGACCGTCAACACCTACCTCTTGATTAGATTTATGCGCTCTCTGTTCACTCCTATTCTTCACCGTAACGGCAACTCAAACAGAACGAACGCCTTCGCTGGCTAGAGAACCCGTTCGAACTCTGCACAATGGTAAGTTTTTTAATAGGGGCTCCAGACCATTGAAGCGGTAAGGCTGACATCTTCCCATCAGATCTTTCCTCTAATTTGCCTACTTCTCCTCCAAGCCGCCCTTCTCACCCTCGGTGCTCCGCGACGGGCCCTCTCACCTCCCCAGCAGCGAGAAAGCATCCTCGATATGGACTTCAACGGAGACGGGGAAGATATGGTCAGAGAGATTCTCAACCGGCCCTATAGCACGAGACACAACGACGGCAGCGATAGTAACAAGCCCTTTTATGGTGTCCGCTTCTCCGAGAGCGATGAGGGCAGAGTGCGCGTGGCGCGGGGTGATCCGATCAACATGGAGGCATCACGGGCGGTTATCGAGGAACATGATCTAGAGTGGACGTTAATCGAGGAGGTTGAGGTTGACGACGACCTTTCCGAGGACAGGGAGGATGAAGTTGTCAGGAGAGTCCACGACCAAGGCACCTGGGATATAGATGCGTACTCTGATCCTGAGAGGAGAGATGTCGAGGACGGTCCGTGGAACCGGTTCCTCAGAGACAGAGGGAGCAGTGAAGATCCCTTTGAGAAGCCAAAGTTCCGCGAGGGACAGGGGGGTTTCGTCCAGTGCGCGGGGTGCTCCGATACAAGAGGTGGCTCCGATGGTTGGAAGAGATCTACGCCCTCTGTTGAGCGAGCAAACACCACCACCACCAACGGAACTCATCGCCAACACCCAGCAGACCTCCTCAACACTCTCAATCGCAGCAACGCAAGCCCGCTAGCATGGGATCTACCCACCACCAACACCTCCTCCTCCTCCCTCCAAAAGCGCGGAGAAACAGACTGGACCTGCAACCGCATCGGCCAAAGAAACACCAAAGAAGCTCTGTTGATCATGTACGACGTCTTCAACGACGTCTTCGGCACCGAGCCCCTACGGGGCCTAACGAACCAGTGTTATGTCGCAGAGTGCCAGGACTGGTATTTCAGTTACTGCCAAATGTTGGTCGATGTTAAAGAGGAGAGGCCTGGTGCGCGAAAGAAGGTGATTGATCGCGACCCGGGGAAGGGAGGGTCGTGTTATGCGGTCGCGGACGGGGAGAATTCGAATCGGTATCATCGGTACTTTTTCGGACATGTGAGCGCGAATCCGATTCCGAATTATGGTGGGGGGTTTAATGTCAGGAGGTGTAATTGAGAGGGTTGGATGAGAGGGAGTTAGTTAATGTGTAGATATATGCTAGAGGTTTTGGCCAGTGACGGCACTTACAAGGCACATTGATCAGTGCTTGTGATCAACTCATCTGTTGTCCTCTTTCGGAAAGAAGAAGAAAAACAGGGAAAAAATCTAGCATCGAAACATATCATCTCAATGATCATATGTGATGTCGGTTGTAAGACTGGTCCAAATTCAATGAACGAGGCCCAAAAGGTAGGTAGAAATCCATGTGGTTCGCGCCACTAATACCGGTACAGCAAATGACATTTTGAGTTCAGCTAGATGGTGTCGCCCACATAGCACAGACCATAAACAGTAATTCAGTTACCACGTCATGAATAAAGGAATAGCAATCAGTAAATCGATCTCCTGCCTCGCCAAAAGCTCTCACAACATTCGGTAAAAGCGGTATTTGCTATTTGGTATCGGATCTTTCTCACAAACCGCAAAAATTTAGGCGTTCCGACACCGAGAGTCGAACTCGGATCTCTCCGGGACTTTCTATGAAAGCGGAGTATGCTAACCGCTACACCATGCCGGATTTGATGCTTTCTCTTGGTCTTACGCAGACCTATCATGGACGTCTTGACTCGCTAGCTGCGCCAGTCCAAGCGCCGTTCTCTGCAACACGCCATCTTCTGTCAAGAGCAGCACTTCAGTATTCGTGCAAGTTGCGAACCTGAGAGTTTGAACTAGACCGAAGAACCTCATCTGGCGCCGCCATCTCATCTAGAGGTTGCCTTGAAGTCACACTTCATTCCAAACACAATGACGAATGATGGGTGTCGCGGGTACTGATTGCGCCTTCCACAACTCTCTTTTTGGGGGCAGTCTTGCCGGCCCCTCACGGGTTTGAGATAGCTCCTTAGGAGTCCGTCGGGAAACTTCTCCGCCACAACTCCTCAATCGGTTCCACTTCATCGAATTGCGACGGTCAACTAAGTCCGATATGCCGGAGAAGGTCTGGTTCGCAAGGATAGGTCACCTGAGAAACCTGGTGGTCTTCACATCCTCTTCAGAGATAGTAAGTAAATGAACCGGTTTACAACGCTACGATGGAGATGGCGTTCATCCTGAATCTCATCTCGAATTTATCTCAAGGCACTGCGTCTCTTGTAAGATCTTTGCTAGATTCTAGAAGATCTTGCCTGGTAAAAGGAAAGAAGAACCTGTCGTATTCTGAACGGTCGACCCGTCAAGTGTAAAGTTTCCCCTTATTCAATTTAGACACGCGTCCCCCATGCTCCACGCAATTCCCAATGATAAGATCATGGGACTTATCGACACCTTCAGCGTCTCCGAACCTAACTTTGACGTTGGCCATAAGCCTAGCCCTGGCTTCGTCTGAAAGCGCTCCGCCGCCGCCCGGCACGTCAAAGTTTGGGTTACCCCTCGTCAGAGTCGAGATGTTCATAAGAAGCTTAGGGACCCAGATCTTCAGGCTCAGCGCAAAATCCAAGACTGTTGTGAGTAGCAACACCAAAGTTGCCACGATGAGAACAATCATCCAGGGTTTGTTATATCGGAGGACTTGGACACGAACGTATACAGTGGCCTCTGCTTCTGACAACACATAGTCGTCGTTTGATGGAAACTCTGAACTCCCTGTGGCCCATTTTGTCAGGCCGTCGTAGTTCTCGGGATGGCCTAAGAACAACGGCTCATTGCCTATCATGGCCCACCAGTAAGTATTCAGAATCTGACCCAGGCGGACCGAAAACAGCTCTTTCCCAACTTCGTACACCGGTGGAAGGTTCCAAGCTGCTGAGGAGTTCAACCCTAGCTTAGGATCGACTAAGTATGACTGTACGATGGTGGGCGAGCCAATCCCGCCGCCACCGCTGTCAGCCATAGTATCGAAGTAACGAAAGAACCATCTCCATATATGAATGTTCTCTTGCGGGCACCCGTCAAAGAAGGTTCTGTTTGTAGCCTGTCCGCCCTGCGGTGCCGAAGCCGACTGTCGCACTGCTGTGGCCTTGCAGTCCCAACCCAAGCAAGAGACATGGACCTCGACGAATGACGTAGTCATGGAACACTTTGCCATTGTGTAACCGCCTCTTGGTTGATCAACATCATAGTTCCAGTAAAGCAAGTCTCTGGCAGCGACTCGAGGATCGGTGCAGCGATCATCTCGTCGCGTGGAGTTTTCCCTTCCGTATGGGTAAGGCACGGTAGCGATATCGCCCCACTTGAATTTGTAATTGCATCTACTTTCTGATATCCCTTCTCTTTTGTCGCATCCCTCCCGTATAGGGTTGACCGCTTCGGTAGCATTACCTGTAAAATTGCGGAGGTCGGTGCAGTTTAACTTCAAATACGAAGTTTCTAAGGTGAAGCTCGACCGGTGTCTTTGGGAAACGTTCGCAACAGGTATTCCAACAAGTGCAGAGTACGTAACTTCATCTTGGTATTGGTCAAGGGAAATCCAATCGTTATTGTTAAGCCAAAGATGTTGAGGGAAGGACTCAATCATGGGGATTTTGATGTTGCCCCAAGTATCTGTCCTTGAATCTTTGATTTCGTCCGTAGCCCCAAGTGATCCGAGAACTAGCGTGTTTACAGGGATTTGTTTACCTAGCATCCCTGCCGCCATATATCTTTGAGGAAAGCCAACGCTGTTGTTGAGGTAGGGCAGTACTGCACGAGAGGGGATTTCCTCGGTTCGTGGGGACAGGACTCGAAGCGCCGCTTGTCCTCCCAGTGGCGACAAGGACCAAATGACCACTAGTAGGCCTACTAAGCCCCCGATCCTCTTCAGATCGATTATAGTGGTGATCGTGCCGGTCAATGTGGTCGACCCGAAGAGGCTGTCTAAGGTCCCGATGCGCTCTCCTCTTTGGAGTCTCCAATGCCCATAGCTCCTGACAGCCCTGCCAATGACGAAGGCAAACATCAAGGGTACCGCCGTAGGGCCCTGAGAACATTGTTAGTACTGACAGTGAATTCTTATCGGAAGCAATGATTCTTACGAGCTGGGAAAATTCGCTAGCGAACTTCCACATCGTCGAGAGACTCTCTATGTCTCGGCCATCATTTAGGAGCAAGATACCGATGTATGCCATAATAACAATCACCATGAGTAAAGAAAGAATACCAAGCAGAATTTCTGATGGTTTAGATAGACCATTCTTGAGCCTTTGTGGAGGCCATTGCAAGAGTCTTGATTCTCTTTTGATAGAATTTGACGACGCCTCGCGTCTGGCCTCTCCGGATGTGTCCATGGTCGGCAAGTTCTATTTGCGAGCGAGAATTGCCGCGATCGTAGATTGAATATGAACAGTTGGTTTTTGGAACCTACGTAATGCTGAGTGGAAGACAAAAGTTGACAGAGTGGAAAGAAATCCAGGTTTCAAGCCTCGGGAGGATATGAGGAGATGAGGCACGATGGAAACAAGTAGACATACGGAGTGTCAAACGTGACCTACTTTGCTAGATGTGATATATACTGTCATCAGGCTCGCAGGTAATGAGGCTGTTGCAGAAAGGGTGGGAGAGCATGTCACAAGCTGAGCCGCAAAACCAATTGAAGGGCACCTTGCAACGCTGGCCTGCATATTCGCTGCTCGCTTGCAGAAGAAGGATCCGAATGTGTCGCCCAGGTCTAGAGAGCTGGCAGGATTCATGTTGTGCTGACAGAGGCTTGGCGGGGCATTCTGGCTTTCACCTTTGATTATGACTGGGTGCCTGCTCGTCGCTGACAGCTTCTTGGGCAACCGCGCGGCGTAGCAAGGGGCCTTGAGCCACCTGAACAGCATCCAGGTTGGCGAGCTGGAGCTCATAGTCGGTAAGCTCAGGTGTGTGGGAAGAAATAGAAGAATGTGATGTTCAAAAACCTGGTCGATCGGCAAAACAATCAGGATGACAATTCTGAGCATGGCGTACTTGTGGATAGCTCCCGGGGGAATTAATAAGCCTGCCGTTGACTCGTCATCAAGTGGTATAATACAGTTTCATCGCAAAGTCGTCATCTGTAACATCAAGCATTCTCCTCAACCCATTCCTCAACTCTCTCCACCAGCTCGCTCTTCTTGCCTGCTGTGCTCTGTCCCCTCGCGGCAAGCAGCTCCTTGAGATCTGCGACTAGCATCTTGCTCAATCCACCACTGTCCACAGCAGCCTTAAGCTGCGCCGTCGTCATGCCAGACCCGGGAACCTTTGCAGCTTTCGGCGCAGCCTTTGCTCTCTTGGCAGGCCTCTCATCGTCACCTTCGTCCGCCTCGCGCTTGATCGCAGCCTTTGCCAACGCGATCTTGGTCTCGTCCTGTAGGGTCTCGGCCCAGTCATCCAGGTAACCGCCGGCACGCTTGCTGATGGCTTTGTATTTTGGCTCGGTAAGATCTTCCGCCTTTTCAGGGTACTCCTCCTCGAGAGCCAAGACCTGGAGGATCTTGTAGTGCCATTGCAGCGACGGGTTGGGGTATTTCTTGGGGTTGTACATGGCCTTTGGTAGCTGTAGCTGCTGGACGATGATGCGCATCTTGTCGATAAGCTCGTTGGAACTTACGACGTGATTACTTGGGGGCTCGGGGCCTTCGCGTAGGTCGTCAGCGAAAGGAAGCGGGTAGAGCCAAAGACCGGCGGGTAGATAGGGCGTTCCTGAATCGTCTTCAGACTTCTCATGGGAAGGGATGATGGCGACGAGAATTGGGCTAGCGTTGACACGGGTGACAGCCCATGCGATGCCGATCTTCTTGTCTTTTAGCAGCTTTTGCCAAAGAGCACTGAAGACACGAGTCGAGCCGACATAGTCCTCCTCTGATGGGAAGATGAATGTTGATTTCTTGATACTCGCCCAAAAGGGAAGCATAGAGCGCGGCTTGAATCCGATAATGCGGATAATGGGGGAGCCGAAGTCTTTGAGAGACTTCTGCTCCTCTGGTGCAAAGTGCACGTATTCGCCGCCAAATTTGTAAGCCTTCTTGAACTCGACCTTTTCAACCGTCCGGGCACTATCCTCGGCGATCCGTGTCGTTTCGCCGTTGGCGAGCTGAGGTTTCTCACCGTCTAGCCAGATGTATGATGTTCTTGCTGGGGTCTGACGGTGAAGAATATTGTATCCCTTGACCGAGATTCTGAGTCCAGGGGCGATCTCGAAGGGGAGGTTAGAGAATAGGGAGCGCTTGGGCGTTTCTTTGGAGTTGATGTTTGATATTAATGAGTTGAGGAGACTGAGGCCATCGCCGGACTTTGAGTTTCTGGTTTCGGAGAGATTGGCCTCTGCAACTAGGTCTCGATAGATGATGTCCTGCACGGTCAGCTTTCTGCCCACTCCAATCGAACGGCTCAGTACTTACATCGTAAAATTTTCCGAGGTCGAACTTCCTCTCGTCTCTGGTAATGGGGAAAAGCTCGATCACAACTCCAAGATCGTACAAGTCTTTTGCACGGACAGCCGCAGCCGATTTGGCATCCTTGTTCTTGCCGTGTGGGTCATCATTGTCTGTGATGATGAAGAGTCGTCTGCTGCCAAAGTTCGCCGCCTTAGTAGTGAAGATTTGGTTTGCGCAGAAAAAGACGTTGGCCATCTGGACTTCTTCCTCCGCCGGCACTAGCACCTCATCTTCATCTTCGGCCTCTTCTCCATCCGCGCCGACCAAGGTCTTTAGTGCCTTGACATCTTCAGCAGCGGGAACGTCGAGGTCTGCGAACAAGTAGCAGTGCGGGTAGCCCAAGCCTGCCCGACCGCTTTCTTCTTGAAACTTTGACTTTTCCGTGCCGAAGAAGAGAATGCCCATCATGTCTTTGGGGTTAGAGATGATGCGCTGCTGCATGAGATGATAGGCGCATTTCAAAGCTGCCTCGACAGCACTGTCCCTATCGGCCTTCTTGGAGTTTGTTGCGGGCGGATGCTGCAGCATTGATGAGCTCACGTCAATGGCGAGCAAAATGGCATCTTTTTGAGCCTTGAAGTCCTGCGACAGGTCAGTTATAAGTCATGATCCACAGTGCATAGGACTTACGGTCTCATCAAGCTCCTCCTCAGCATCATCCTCATCCTCATCCTCTCTTTTGAAGTGTCCGCGATCAGCCATCTTTGAAAGGTCACTCGAAATGTGTACGAAGAGAAGATGGGATGTGTTTCGCTGCGCTGGTTGTGAAGCGGATGGGCATAGCAAGCACTTGCAGGTTAGCTACCAGGCGTCGCTCCAGGCAGCCAGCGCGACTGGGGCCTTCGCGCAGCTGGGAAGCTCGCGCGCCAAGCTCGCAGGAGCTCCTGGTCACAGCGCGCGACCACGTGACCGTAATTGCCGTGGTTCTGGATTACGCAGTGTCTAATTGGCCAATTCGACTGCGGGTTAGGGGAGTACCCAGGCACCAGTTGTTTCAGGGCCAGAACAGGGGATTCTGTAAGTATCGAGGTATCTTCTCGGCCTCACAGGGGTCCTGCTCGGTGCTCGGTGGGCTGCTGTCCAGATCGGGATTTCCTTCGTCATCGAAGCCCGAATTCCTCAAAGTGTCGCCCAGCATCGACGCATCACCGGGGTTCGCGGATTGCCACAAGTGCGAGAATCTAGAGCCACTTGAACATTAACCACGTTTTTCCTTCGCACTACACTCTTTCCTTGTCGTGTATTCACATTCAACCATTGTCACGATCCAATGGCGTTCAAGTACTCCACAGGACAGCTCTCGCGGAGCTTGTCCAAGGCGACGACATCTGCGCGCAATGCCTCATCGCCTCTCACCATGGCACTGCCGAAGCAGTCGGCTGCACAGCTTAGATCAATGGCGACGGTCGTACCACCTGTGACGCAAAACTCTGCTGGATCCAAGGGACCGACGGCGATGGTATTCATGAACATGGGTGGCCCTTCAACGACGGACGAAGTGGGAGACTTTCTGAGCAGGCTTTTTGTAGGTCTCTCGTCATTCTACTTTCTGCGACGCAAGCTAACGATGCGCAGGCAGATGGCGACTTGATTCCCCTTGGCCGTTTCCAGAACTACCTCGGTCCCCTGATTTCGAAGCGACGGACTCCCAAGATCCAGAAGCAATACGCCGATATTGGTGGCGGCTCACCTATTCGCAAGTGGTCTGAGTATCAGAACGCCGAGATGTGCAAGATTCTCGATGAGATCTCACCCGAGACAGCGCCACACAAGCCGTATACAGCTTTTCGCTACGCCGACCCTCTGACCGAGGAGATGTACAACAAGCTTTTCGAGGATGGCTTTGGAAAGGGAAGAGGCGGAAGAGCGGTTGCATTCACACAATACCCCCAGTACTCGTGCTCAACGACAGGAAGCAGCATCAACGAGTTGTGGAAGTGGAGGCAAAGGCTGGAGGGCAAGGCCGTCGGAGAGACGACACCCGGCGACGGTACCATTTCATGGAGTGTGATCGATCGCTGGCCGGTACACCCGGGCCTGGTTGAGGCGTTTGCACAGAACATTGAGGCGAAGTTGTTGGAATACCCCGAGGAAAGACGCAAGGACGCCGTCCTGATCTTCTCCGCCCACAGCTTGCCCATGTCTGTGGTCAATAGGGGCGACCCTTACCCGGCCGAAGTTGCCGCGACCGTGTACGCTGTCATGCAGCGCCTCAAGTTCTCCAACCCCTACCGCCTCTGCTGGCAGTCCCAGGTCGGCCCGTCCGCCTGGCTAGGACCCCAGACCTCCGACTCGGTTGAGAACTACGTCCACAAGGGCCAGAAGGACCTTGTGTTGATTCCCATTGCCTTCACATCAGACCACATCGAGACTTTGTTCGAGCTGGACCTTGAAGTCATCGCTGACTCTGGAAGCCCGGAGACGGTCAAGAGAGTGGAGAGTTTGAACGGCAGCCCCGTATTCATCAAGGCTCTTGCCGACATTGCCAAGGCTCATCTAGACAGCAGTGTAGCCTGCTCGCCGCAGATGGAGTTGCGGTGCCCTGGCTGCAAGAGCGAGCGATGCTTGGAGTCGAAGAAGTTCTTTGCGGGACAGCAATCGAAGCTTCTCCCCGCGCAGGAGAAGACTCTTGCCCAATAAAGAATGAGTCGCATCTAATTTGCGACATGTAATTGTGTATTATATCAGGAACCGGGGATCTGCTAGGGTCTAAAGTGGCATTCGGAGGGAGGCGAATTCAAAAGTACATCAACTCTCAAATCTATTCCACCATTCATGCACAAAGTGTCGCCCGCAGCTGCATGAACAATCTGTATCCGAATTGGAGATGTGTGATGAGTGTGAAATGCCCAACTGCAAAGAAGCAAGGATCGAAATGTTGAAGGGGACTT